ACCTGCTGGCAACACTCTGCCTAATGCACCCCAGGAGACCATTGGCCCTCTTGGCCGCAAGGGCACACTGCTGGCTCATGTTTAACTTGTCCACCAGCATTCCCAGGTTCTTCTCCGCAGAGCTACTTTCCAGCAGGTCAACCCCCAGCCTGTACTGGTGCATGGGATTATTCCTGCCTAGGTGCAGGATGACTATGACTCTGTTGGGGAGGGAAGGAAATAAGTGCTAGCACAGCATCTTGTTTCTCAAGGCTGTGAGTCTAACTCTGGTCTTTATTCTGTGTGTTTTGCCTTTGTTGCTGTCTAAAAGGCTGCTGGCTGAAACAGTGGAAGTGTGCTATTTCATAGGTGTAGTGGTACCAGCTGGGTGGGTGGAATGACTGTTAAGGTGTCTAGGAGTTGTAAGTGTCAATTGATCTTAAAAATGGCAGGCAGCCTTATTGCATAACCCTTGTATATTTTTAGCTGGAAATAATTTAACTCCATCTGCTCACGCTTTTATATTTTGCTCAATCTTTATTTCTCTGGGGAAAAAAAAAAGCTAAATGTATTACAAATAGCATAGCTCTGAATGGGACAGAACAAGTTCTGGTATGCTGCAAAAAACAATTTTTTTTCCCTGGTGTCTTTGTGACCGCTAAGGAACTGTTGGCTTTTGGGGCCTTGTGAACTGTTTTCACAGGCTGGCCTACTTGTTCCTGTAGGTGAAGGAGCTGGAGGCAGGCCCTTGCACTGCTGGGGACAAGCTCTAGTTTGTAGAGCCAAGCTGGTGAAACCTACAGCTAGTGTAAGCGCAGTCTCCTGAGCAATGCAGCAAAGTTCCTGCTATCCTGAGCCTCTCCTCCATCAGCTCCTTGCTTGTAGGGAGGATGTTCTTGAGACTTCTGTGTTCTTTTTCTTCTCTTATTGAGAAACTTGCTCCATACCTGAGCTAGCCTCCCAGAAATCTGAGTAATATTTCCTCTTCTCTTCCTCTTCTGCAAGTTGATCAGCGCTAGGCACCTGGTAACAGTAGGATTCAGGGGCTGAATTGCAGGACAGATCCTGAGGTGGAAGAGAAGAGGAACCTTTCCTGTTTGCAGTTCTTCTATAACAGTAGCAAAGATCAAAAGCCTTATTCCATGGTTTGTGAGATGCTGTCTACAGTTAAATTGGATAGCCCTTGCCTTTTAGCAGACATGGGTTAATGTACTAATAGCAATTTTATGGAGTTACAAATGAGTACAAACTAGATAGAGAGGAGGAGATGGCGATGCCAGCTTATGAAGTCAGATTAGTAACTGTATGTGCACCTCTATAGGCAATGCTAATGTAGGAAGATGTGCAGTGCTAAGTCAAACACTGATGCTTACTAGTCTTTTGTCTACGGTTGCGTTGGCAGCCTTGATGCTCTACTGTAGAGAAATGGCTGGGTACAGTGGAGAGCACCCAAGTCTGTTTCTATGGAGACTCAGACCTTTTTGTATTGAAGCGCTCCTGGCTGTGAGTCGCATCTCTGTACAAAGAGGTGTGTTGTGCAGATTACAACATTGTCTCATGCATCAGCTGTGGCCAGGATACGACCTTGAGCTTGCTAGTGTCTGCTATCCAAATCCTTTAGCTCATTGCCAAACGGACAGGTGGTTCAAGCTTGGAGGGGGTCCCAGGCTTTCTTAGAATCATGGAATAATTTCAGCTGGAAGGAACCTTTAGAGGTCTCTAGTTCAATCCCCTGCTCAAAGCAGGGCAAACTTCAAAATTAGGTTAGGATGCTCAGAGCCTTATATAGTCAAGTGCAGAATCTCCATCCCTGCAGATACTTGGAAAACTCTCTCGGTGATTAACCACTGTCAGTGTGAATTTTTCTTCTTTATCCTGTCTGGATTTCTTCTGCTGCAATTTACAGCTGTTGCTTCTTGTCCTTATGCTGTGCACCTCCAGGAAGAGTCTGGCGCTCGCTCTTCTGCAATAACCACTTAGCTAAAAACAGCAACTGGCTCTCCCCTTAGCCTTCTCCTCTCTGGGTTGAGCAAACCCAGCTCCCTCGCCTTGCATATATCTCCTTGTATGTGCTCCTGCCCTGTATGGTGGATCTCCACTGAACTTGCACAAGTTGTTTCTTTTACTATGGATATCAAAGCTGGGCAGAGTACCTCAGATATGGGCTCATAAGTGCTGAATAGAGGGAAAATAATCACTTCCCTTGACCTACTGACTATGATCTTCAGACTCAGCTGTGTTAGGAAGATAGTCTCCACTGCAGGAAAGCTGCACTGACTCCCATTCAGTTTGTCCAACAGGGCTGCCCAGGCTCTTCTTATGCAAAGCTTATTTCTAGCTAGGTTTGTCCCCAGTCTGTACATACAGGCAGTTTCTCTGACCTAGATGCCTGACTTTGCTTTTGCTGTTGAAATTTTTGTGGTTCCTGTTGATCCATTCTTAAAGCTTGATAAGGCCTCTCAATGGCAGTTCATTCCTCTTTCTTGTAGGCTGTCTTCATTGCTCTTTCTACTATAGACCAACCAGTCTGGCATGCTGATTGTGATCAGATCCTCAGAAGCATGAGTGTATTGAAGGAAATGAGGGATATGTGCCCTAAGGCTTTCTGCACCTTCACCTATCCCTAGGGCATAAAGAGAATTTGAGACCCGAGCCAGGCTTCAGCTGAAAGTCTGACAAGAAGGCAAGGTACAAGACTAGAGCAAAATGCTAGTTATGCTTACTCTCAGGGCTGCAAATACAAAGAGGCAGAACCTGGCCATGTACCAGAACTTTAACAGGGTAAAGGGCACACAAATACATCAGCTAGTCCGGGATTATGCAGAGGGGGGAGGCAGCTGGGTGGCTGCCAGAATAGTCCAGAAAACAGATCTGATGCCACAAACAGTGTAAACTGAAGAGTGAAACCTGTTCATTCCAACTAGAGTGCAAATACCAGAATAATTCACCAACTATATCATAATTCATAATAAGGCACTGGCAAGTTTGGTTACAGCAGAGGACAACTGAGTAAACTGTATGTGTAGACAAGGCTTAAGCCAGTTCTGTGCTTTTTGAAGAAAACCAGAAGAGAGGAAGGATGAAGGAAAACTAGCTTTGCTTAGCAGCGCTTCTTTCAGAATTATACCTCAATGCATTCACAAATGTGCAAGAACATTCTTCTTCCTGAAATACAATTTCATTTCAGGAACCTGCCACAAACGTGGGAATCAACCCAAATGATTCTTTTTTGACTCAACTCCCCACAGTAAGAAAGGAACTAAGATATCTGGCACTGTGTAACAACATATCAACATTAGTTTTGAACGCTCTGATCTGAGATATGCTTTCACTAGGTCAATATGCACCATTTTTCTGTAAGTTAAGAATGGAAATATGGAAGCACGTTTCTCTGAGTTGAATTTTCTAAGCCACTTTTGATTTTTAGCATCAGTAGTAGCTTGAAGTAGGGGAGAAAGCTTGAAGGCAGGGTTTGGAAACAGTTTCTGCAAACTATGCTATCTCACAAAACTATGCCATTCACACTTTTCAGAAGTAAACAGAGGTCTTTTTCCAAACCTATTACAAGCTGCTTCTAATATATATTGAGAATAAAACCTCTCATATTTAGTATGTATATGGCAAAAGTTTTTTATTTTATGGTGGAACTACCATGAACTGTATCTATATTTAGATATGTAAAGATCTTAAACAAAAAACCTAAACAATAGCGTAACTAAGAGTATGAGCTTTCTAACTTGAATATTTTGCCTTATCCATGAATTGCTGACTTCTTTTCTTCTTGCAACTTACCCAGATTTGTAGAACTGCAAAGTTTTCTGTGGTACGTTATGGGATGTGGCCTGTGGCCAAATGCTACTAAAGAGAAGTTGTAATAAGATAAACAAAAATTCAACATGGTGCTTAAATGCTTTCTCATATGGCTTCATCATCGCCTTAGGAATCTGACGATCTTTGCTACTTTTGTTATTGCTAATCTAGAAATAAAACTTGCTGTGTTTCCCTTTCTCCCCCTCCCCCATGGTCATGCTCTGGTTTTGAAGGAGCTGGAGCTGCTGCTCATGTTTGAAGGAGAGGGTGTTTCCCAGTTATGTTCAGGCAATGTGTACCTGCCCACCCTAAAAACAGGCAGCCCATCTGTGAGGCTCCAGCTGGCAGAGACAGACTCTGGGGAAAGTGCAGTGCTCAGTGTTTGGTTCTGTGTCCAGATGGATCTAGCCACCCAAAAATCTTAAAAGATCTATTTCTCATGCATGTCTCTCCATAATATGAAAAGCAACACTTTTTTTGTCTTTCTTTTTAAATAAAGCTTCCATAGGATTAGGCTAAATAATGACTATACCAAAACTGACAGCTCATAAATTTGCCCGTGGTATATGTTCTGTGAATTGTCAGAGATTCAGCTAGTCAGCAAGTTTCCCCTGCTTTGTGTTTTGAACTGCTTAAACCAAATCATGCATTTTTAATTATCTAAAATATATGGAGGAGAAAAAAATTTAGAAAAGTAAATGCGTGGGATACAACAGTTAAGTGACTAGGAAGAGAGCAAATAGTACTGCTAGCGTGTTCCCACTCTGATTTCAGTATCAAACAGCAATTGATTTGTACTGTTCGCTACACTGGTTTCTCTCCTGTGGAGATCCACGGCTTTTCCTGTAGCTTAGCACCCTTCCACATCAGGAAAAGGGAATGGCAGGGGAAGGCTATTCAGAGTTACCCATCTCTACGAGAATCGGGCTTGAACCCACGCGAGCCCTCTGACAGAAAGACGGCTTGAGCAGATTTCTGCCTTTACCGTGCCTTCGCAAAGCGCCGGGCCAGCCCGCCGGACCGGCATCCTCGGCCCCGCCGCCTCGACACCTGCGGTCCCAGCGAGGCAGCCCAGGCGCC